AATGTTGTCCATTCCATTTTGTACTTCAAGCGCCAAATAGACAGAGAAGAGCTTACTCCCCTATTGTTACGCAATACCATTCCTGTGTGCATGGCACAGTATGAAAGACTCTTTTCTACTGTTCGGTTAGTATTCATAAGATAAACAAGTTTCAATTTTGATAAATAAGAAAATATCCTTTTTGCATATGCAATTCTCATACTTTTACGTAGTGCTCTTGACCCCCACACAAATCTTCATGAAATGTATAGCTAAATTATAAGAAATACCAACTGAAAAATAATTTGGGTCACAGAACTCACTGTATGCTCAAAATGACAGTACTTCTATTCTTTAGGATGTTTATTTTTTACCAAATATTCAGTACCAGTTCTTAGAAAAAGAATTGTGGAACATGCTGGTACTAAGCTAAGGAAGAGCATAATATGTGACTTTTGATTGTATTTAAGTTAGAAATAGTATTTTTGTAGAAAAGTATCTATGATAACAATTTAAACGTTTATGTTTACACTACAGAGTTCCTGGTGGAGAAATAGATGATTTACTCCATTTTGACTCTACTGAATCTCGACATGTTGTGGTATGGAGACAGGGACTTTTCTATCAACTTAATATATATGATGACAAGAACCAGATACTGTCTCCAGCTGAATTGGAAAGACTCTTCCAAGATATTATTGATGATGCAGACAAACACAAGGGTGAGCATTATGATATTTTGTAGATTATGAAATATAACTTTATTTGAAGGATTAACCACAAACATGCCAGAAATTTCCAAATATCTATGGATTTTTTAATGCTTATTCTAGAAGGCATTGATTAAAAGGAAGAAAGTTGTTATTGCTGAGAATCCAGATGCTTAAAAAAATCAAGGAAACTTGATAAGTTTCCTCGATATTGCTTATTCTAGAAGGCATTGATTAAAAGGAAGAAAGTTGTTATTGCTGAGAATCCAGATGCTTAAAAAAATATATATATATATCGAGGAAACTTATCAAGTAAAAAAGCTAAGATATAAATGAATGTCACTAATTTAGCATTTGTCTTTTGAACAGAGAGTGTAAGTGAGAGCGAACGCAGTGTTGCTGCCCTCACTGCAATTGAACGAAGGGAATGGGCTAGAATTCAGAAGCAAAACTTTACATCAGGCATTAATAAAGACAATATGGATCTCATCTTCAAGGCAGTATGCATGGTGAGGATTAGAATATATTTTATTGTGTTTTTAATGTATTTTTGCTTCAGTATTAAACATTAGTAAATAGTAGTCAACATTCAGAGAAAAACATTGCCAGGACTGTTGTCTATAGTTATATTTTTGCATTCAGACATTGAAACATGTCATGATTTTTACATCAAAATTTAAGTTATTCCAGGATCTTCCAGGGGAAAAAAGTGGCCTTCCTCTTATCCACAAATATATAAGGAAATCAACTTTATGATATAGATCAGTAATTGTTTTTAGATATAATACTGTTATCAAGAATGAAGTAGGGTGACATATATGATGTTCTTTTCAGGTTGTTCTCTTTGACAAGCCACCAGCGAGCATCGTAGACAAAGGGAAAACACTCCTGCACGCTGATGGGCGTACACTCTGGTAAGGTTGATCTCTTTTTCTTCTTTTTTTTTTTTCTTTATATGATCTGCTCTATTATTAAAATTTCTTTCTTTTTTTAATATTTTGATTATTTTGTATGATGTTATATTATTTTATATTATGTTCTATGTACATATACATATACATATACATATACATATACATATACATATACATATACATATACATATACATATACATATACATATACATATACATATACATATACATATACATATACATATACATATACATATACATATACATATATATACATATACATATATTATATATATATATATATATATATATATATATATATATATATATATATATATATATATATATATATATATGTATATGTATATGTATATGTATATGTATATATGTATATATATATATATATATATATATATATATATATATATATATATATAATATATATGTATATGTGTGTGTATGTGTATGTGTTTGTGTGTGTGTATAAATAGATAGAGAAACAGATGTATATAGATATATGTATGTATGTATACACACATCTACTGTTCTCTGATCTTTTTTTAATCTTCAACTTTGAAGGTTTGACAAGAGCGTCAACTTGTGTTTCTTCCCTGATGGCCAGTGTGGTTTGAACGTAGAGCATACAATGGCTGATGCACCTGCAATGGGCCATGTCTGGGAATATGCAATGACAATGGAGTGAGTTTCTTTGTGTTTGTTGTACATTATGTTTCCAGTGAGTTCTCACTTCTTTTATCATGTACCTAAGTGTGATTTTGGTTAGTGGAATGGTTGTAAGATTTCAGAGTCATATAATAAAACCTAAACCTCTGTTGTAGATTTAGCAGTGAACAATATCTTCTGATGCCCAGCCTAATAACAAATTTGTTATTCAACAGAGTGATTGAAAAAAGGTATCTTGACAATGGACAAGTGATGCCTCCACCGAAGTCTTTCAAGCAGAGCCACTATGCCCCACCAAGACGGATCATTTGGGACATTACAGATGCTCTTGAGAAGGAAATCAATAAAGCAGTAGTTTTGAACCAGAAGGTAAGTTGATTACCTTTGGTTGTGTAGCTTTGTGTGCATTTTTTGTGTTGATTGTATAAGTATCTATGTGTATATATACTTCTATGATGGATACGAAGTGGAAAGGTGAGTTATGATGATTTTATGTAACAAAATTTAACATCAACATTTTTTCAGAATAATGAGGATCTGGACCTAGAGATCCGTAATCATAACAAGTTTGGCAAGGGTATTATCAAAAAGGCTCGTGTTAGTCCTGATGCGTTCATTCAGATTGCTCTCCAGCTTGCATATTATCGTCACACGGGCAGGTATGGCAGTTTCTGGTAAATGTAGTTATGATAAGGATATATATCATCAGCCTATTTGTCATTTTACAGTGTTTTAAACTTTAATGCAAACCATAGTGGGAATCTTTAATAGCTTGGATGTGTATGGAACTATTTCACTAAAGTGTGTGTGTGTGTGTGTTTTGTTTATAGATGTAAAAGCAGTCTTAATATAAAATTAAGATTCATGTTATTGGTAATTTCAGATTCTGCCAGACTTATGAGGCCTCAGCAACAAGGCTGTACCAGAATGGAAGAACAGAAACTGTGCGATCATGCTCAGAGGAAGCTGCTGCATTTGTGAGGTGAGATAGAATGGGTTCAATGTGTATGTGAAAATATCTTTTTTGATTACAGAATAGTTGTATTTTGAAAGAGAGTTTGCAAATAACACTGATATGACATTTGTAGATTGCCTTTTAAGTGTGATATCATGATTTAGAAATATTTAGGCGTGTATGTACATTTTTGTTTCTCATCAAAGAACAACTACAAATTGCATACAACTGAACACAATCACTTCACAAAATTTACAAATCAGATCAGCAGCCAAAATCAGTAGACAACTCGAGAAGTGTTAGATGGAGAGACCACACTTTCAGGGCTTATGCTTCTTTATAGACTTTTTTGGTGTGAAGAGGAAGCCTCCTTTTATGTCACCAGAGTTGTAAGTTTCTGTTTTCAGTGTTCAGTGCTCTTGTAAATGGTATGTGCAGTGTGAGATTGCAACTGATAAATATGGTTAGTATTCAATAAAATCTAGATATTATTGAATGAGCACTAGCATGTTCTTAAATTAGTCATGATGTTGAGGGCATTGATCAGAAAGTAAAAGTTGAAGTGACATAAATGATTTTAGCTTAAATAGATAAACTCTCATTGCATGTTTTTAGCAAAAGGAAAATATTACTTTATTAAACAATCAAAACTACAGTTTTTGAGTATAGTGAAAAATCAGGAAGGAAACCAGCATAACACTAAGACATGCAAAGTAATTACTTGGAAGCTTCGGAAGTCAGAGTGATTCCAACTCTTTGTCAAAAAGTTTTAAAATGTTTCTTTGCGATTATTTTTATATGTTTAAAAAATGGGGAGAGGGAGTAGTTCCTCAAAAGATATTTGCTTCATAAGGTTTCCCCTACCATGCCCTATTTATCACCTTTTCCATTTACCCATACCATACTCCCATCATACTTATGTCTTTTCTACCATGGTTAGGCTATGACTCAAGGATATGTACATTGAAAATAGCAACTCATCAGCTGGAGATGTGATAGCATCAGATAGGAGTGTTGTTATTAAACTATATAGGATATTAGGTAACTGCTGATAATCACAAGTCATCAACACAAAACTTCTTTTATGTATGCACAAAAATTGCCCCTTCGTAGACTTGATGCATGAAAATGTCCATGAAGTTTTGGACGTGTCCTAAGATACCAGTTAATGCCACCAGTAAGACAAAGATCAAAAGGATATGCTTTAGGCACCTTGATCAAGATTGCTTTATGTCACTCCAAAATTAATTGAAGGTAATTTTAAGAAGAAGGGAGTCAGGTGTTACCCCCACCTGAATATTCCTTGAAATGATCACAGTAGAGTTAGTGGGTAAGTTTTAAGACTAGTATCCTTTAAGGACTTAGCACAGATTGATAGATGATTTGGTATATGTATTTTTCACATAGAAAAAGGATATGATCAATGCCTTTTTCATATGAGTGATTAAGATCAAGTAAAAAAATTAGAGCTCTAGCTAAAATTAGTTAAAAAATGCAAGCATTTGTAGAAAATATCTGTATACAATTTAAGAATTATATTAAAGCAGTTATGCGACGTCTGCTTTAAAGAATGATCACAGTCACAGAAGCACACTCATCTAGGAAAATTTTAGAAAATGAAATCTATGGACAATTAGTTATTTGCTAAATGTTCCATAGTTCTAACAGAACTTCTTGGGATTAAATTAGTAAAAGCAAAATCTTAGTGTAATTGCCAATAGTAAAGAGGATGTTCATCATTTTCTTGCTTTGTAAACTATGTTTGCACAAGTCTACTTATTAGTATTCAAAATTAATATTGTACCAATAGATTTCTTATCACACTTTTTATTATCAGTTCATTATCAGTCAGTATTTTGTATAAAACTTATACTCTCTTGCTTGCCCAAATATAGGTATACTGGAACATTCCTCATTTATGTATAATAGATTACAGCACAAATTTCTTGACTTGTGAAGATTAAACAGTTGGATCTTTTCCATAGAGCAATGGTTAGTGGGAAATTGCCGAAGGAGAAGCTGTTACATTTGCTGAGGGTGGCTGGAGAACGACACCAGAAGCTGTATCGTGATGCAATGAATGGCAAAGGGATTGATCGCCACTTGTTTGCTCTTTATGTTGTGTCAAAGGGTCTTGGCTATGTAAGTTGCTTCATCTTTACCTAAAATGTTTTCTTAGACAATCCATGCTGCAAACTGAAATGTGATAAAAATTGAGGACAAAAATATATAGTGCTTACAGGTTTTATGATACTAATCATTAATATTTACCTCAAAATAATTTACACTGGCAATTTACATCACAGGAAAGTCAATTCCTTGAGACTACTATTCGGAGGCCCTGGACATTATCAACATCCCAGCAGCCTCAGCAACAGATTCAGGCAAATACTCCAGACATAAACTTGGAGCCTTTTAGGAAAATGGTAAGAAAACTGAAATTGGTAGCTTAATCTTTATGATGCTGCTGTGATCCATTTGGTAGTTGACTGCTATAAAATCACTACTACATGTTCTTTCGGAGAAGATAGGATTAGATTGATAAATATTCACATTCACTGCATGTGTAAAAAATATGTAAAATATGACAAACAGTGTGTATCACTTGTTTTTTTCATGGCTAACATTAATAATAAGAAGGTAGATTTTACTTGAAATACTGAAGCAGATTGGCTCCATTTCAGTGGTAACAGTTAAAAATAATGCTTATTTTTTCTCATTTCAGTGCTCTCCTGGTGGAGGTTTTGGACCAGTATCAGATGAAGGATATGGTGTTTCTTACATGTTACCTACAGAGTATAATATCTTTTTCCATGTTTCATCCAAGAGGTCTTGCCCAACCACTGACTCTAGGAAATTTTCAGATATCTTGTTTAAGAGTATGGATGATATGCGACTCCTGTTTGACAACACAAAGCTTGAATAATCACAAGAGTGAATTACATAATATAAGAAAAAATATATATATAATTACAAGCCTGCAAAAATGCTTAACCCATTGACCCCTGGATGGCATGTGTATATATACCATGTACATTATGTTTTTAGGTTATTAGTTTTTTACACATAGATGGCTCTAAAAGTGTTTAGTCAACAAGGAGCCAAATACTGGGCCTACCTAATAGCAGTTCTCTACTCTATTCCTTGAGTTTTTGGAAAGAAAAGACTTTATTTTTATTACTACTAGTATTGTTAATAATGTTATAATAATAATGTTTATAAAGATGAAGGCTAATAGAAATGGACACTTTTTTCCGTAAATTCAAGGAATGGGGTAAACACTTGTGGAGCCATGTATGTGTAAACAAAAATGACAAAACAAAACTACAGTGGACAGAACATGTACCAGGAGCCAATGGGTTGAGGGTAGTCTTTCAGTAATTTTATACCTTTGAAAATTGTATTACGAATATACAGTTTTCCTTTTTTAATCTAGCAGTAAAGCTCTCTCATTAGATAGGCAACTTGAGATTAGTTAAGATATATAAAACTGAAAATTAACTATTGCTCCCTAGTCAGTTCCCTTAGCTATGGTGGAAATCTATTTTACTGACCAATCATGAAGTATATTATTGTGTATGACATTTTAATTCATGGCTCTTCCATTGTGTGAAGACAATTACATATACACACGCATTTAAATTTTCTAAAGATATATATATATATAGATTAAAATTTAATATTAAAATGTAGTCTTTCTCTATCAATTTTTCAAAATTTAGTTTATCTGCTGTTTTATGATATACAATTATCATGTTGAAGTCCAAATATTTAAGATAGTGGTGATATTCTTTTCTCCTTATAACATTTCAGTTGTTCTGGTAGAATTGTTTTCTTCAATCCTTTATACTAAAATAGCGGGTTTAGTCCATTATTTGATTGTACAATATGAAACTGTAAAGACATGCAATTTAATTTTTTATAAACAGTAGATATGATGTAAATGAGTTCAAGCAAACTTTAATGTGGTCATTTTCCTATACTTTAGTAATGATAGAGGCAGTTATACCACAATTATTCTGGTTTTATCAATATTCTCTTCAGACAGAGCTGACCTTTAACCAAGTTTAGTTGAAACCAAGCTAGAGTGCATTTTAAGTTCAGTATTTATTATATTTCATATCAGAATACACTGAATAATATATGGATAAGTTTTCATTCATATGTTAGGTTTATATACTTTTATAGGTATCTGTGGGTGTCAGTAATATTGCTTTCTTTAAAGTTTATGATTAAAAGTAAAATTAAAGAATGCATGTGGGTCATGCTAGTGTTCAGTGATTTCAAGACGTTTTTGCACGACTCTCCTGTCTTTTAAAAAATTTCCCTAGTTTTAAATTAGTATGTGTTTGCGATAAAGGGATTTGAGATTCTTGTGAATTATTAGTTTGTTTATGTGTTAAACAAAATGGTATTAATTATTCAAGGAAATATTGTTATATTTTCTTTGTTAATTAGGATTTTTTCTTCTGTTTTAACAAATGTAGGAAGCCAATGATTTTGCAAACACTGCAGTTAGTGTTGATCTTTATTACTTTGAATTATTGAATAATCCAAGATCAGCCACAATAAGCAAATATAATGTATTATTTTTAAATGTTAGTTTTATTACAGATTTCCTTTACACTGACTGTTCATATATATATATATATATATATAATATATATATATATATATATATATATATATATATATATATATATATATATATATATATACATAATACATACATATATACATACACACACACACACACACACACACACACACACACACACACACACACACACACACACACACACACACACACACACACACAACACACACATATATATATAATATATATATATATATATATATATATATATATATATATATGTATATATATATATAATAGATATAATAGATATATGCATACATCACTGCACTGAGCTCCAGTCTACTCCCGAAAAACAGATCACTACCCCAAGCGTACGTAAAACAAAGTTCAAGAATCGCCGTCTGACACTACAGAGCCAGTGTAGTAATACACAAACGCATCGTAGCGGTTTTCAGGGTCCTGCAAAACGGGGTTCCCCTGGGGCCGAGGTGTAGTCGGGCCAATCTTCATTGGATTCAGCCCGGTAGAAGCTGAGATATAGAGGGGGCCCAAATCGGCTGAGGTGGGATACATATACATACAGTGGTAGCACGTTTGGAGGACACAAATCTCTCGAGAACGGAACCAGTTAGAAAGTTGATCGACTACCCGTCGGAAAAGTCTCATGAGGGAACGGGTCCTCTCGGTATAGGGACCATATGAGTCATTTGGCAATTTGTCAATTCCTCAAAAGCATCAAAAATAGATTTTTTTTTTTTTTTAAGAAACGCCTTGGATACACCTAAACAAATGCCAAGTTACAGTGGAGTAAGCCTAATACAAGCTGAGTTGCAAACAAAAACAAGAATTAAATGTATCATCACGGCACTGGCCAGTGTTCGGGGACCCAACAACCCAAACTCTCCTCCCGAATCTCTAAAACGGGGGGGGGGGGGATGTCCCACCGCCAATGAGATCCAATCTACTCCCAAACGTACGTAAAACCAAGGTCCATCTAAGTACATATATAGACCTTGCGTAAAACAACGTTCAAGAAACGCCGTCTCAAACAGCGGGGCCATTGCAGTAGTACACAAACGCGGCGGGTTTCCAGGGTCCTGCTAAACAGGATTCCCCAGGGGCCGAGGTGTAGTCGGGCCAATCTTCAAGAATAGGGCCCGGTAGAAGCAGAGATACAGAGGGTCCCAAATCGCCGAGATCAGGACATACAGTGGTACGGCCAGTTTTAGAAGCAGGATCCCTCAAGAGCGGAAAGAGACAGAGAGATGATCGCCCACTCGTTGGAAATGACTCGTAAAGGAGTGTTTTGTTGGGGAAGGGAACATCAGGGTTCTCTGGCATTTTGCCAAAATTGAGATTGCTGCATTTTTAAGATCCAAAAAGCAGGGCTAACAAGGAGCCAGGAACTTAAAAATCTAGGACCAGAGAGGCCTTGGGCAATTCCTACTACGTGCCAAGTTTTATGGGTGTAGGCATAACAAAATTGCTATTTTTATGAGTGCTATTTTTTCCACAAACAATGAAACGGGTTTGCAGAGATGAAATCAGAATGTTGGACCCTACCGTAAGGAAAAGGAGTTTTTTTTTAGACATGTTGAGAAGACTTCGGAATGGAGGTAGATGATAACCGATTATGATTAGGAAGATTATGCTTCTCCCTTTTATTATTCATACCAAAAAATGATGAAAAGAGAAAAAAAAAGTTTCAACGACCATTATTTCGGAAGTATACCCATGTCGGCTCCAATGCTCTAACAAACGCAGATTTAATCCAACATATACGTATTATGGTTCATTTTGTAGATAAATGAAATATCTAGGGAATGTAGGGAACGGATTTTTCGATTTTTTCTTGTGCTTTTTGTAAAAGTGACAAATATATGAAATAAAACCTTTTTTTTTTTTTTTTTTTTTTTTTTTTTTTTTTTTTTTTTTTTTTTTTTTTTACACCTGCCAGTCGACTCGTAAAATATCCCCCCTACCCCTAAAAAAGTCGAAATTGAAAAAAGGGTTTCCTACATTCCTTATCTATAGGATTTAGTACAATAATACGATCAGAATGACTGCATTTTTGGGATTTAAAAAAATGGTCAACTTTCTTTTTTCTTTTTCTTTGGTGATTTCAAAAACTGTTCGGACGATTTGAAAAAAAAATGAT